GTGGGAGCGTAGGTATCGGGAACGGTGGTAGCGGCGGCGGCGGTAGCGGCGGTGGTGGCAACTCCAGCAGGGGGACTGGCAGCACTCATGGCGCCGAGACGCCCTCTAATCTGGCCAGTATCACGCCAACCGCGCGAGAAGCAACACGCGGCGGTTCCTCGCGGTCGCGTCTCCCGTACAAGTCGTGTGACACGCGCTCCTCCTCCTCGAACAACAACAACAACAACAACAACGTAAACACGAGCAACAACAACAACGTGAACAAGGAGGAGCACTACCAGGAGGCGAACGATGACTCGGACGTGATCGGGAGGTGTCACGTGGACCCGTCCAACAAGTCGCATCATCACCCGGCGGGACGATCGTGCGCGATCGGCGGTGGCGGCGGTGGTAGTGGTTGTGGTACCGTTTCCGGGAATGTCTGCCACGGTGGTTCCGGTGTGCCGTGCGAGTCCTCGACATGTGACAAGTACAAAGGTGCCGTGGACTCTCTGCTGAAGGCCAGCGAGGCCGTGCAGGGTCGTCTGTGCGAGAGATCGATGCTGAAGATCGAGAAGCCCTCCGGCAAAGGGGTTGCTCACGGAGTCGAGGCGATCGGGAAGTGCGGGGATAGGATGAAATCGGCGCAGGAGATCGCCGGCTACGGTAAGCACGAGGCGTCGGCCAAGTCGAAGGGACAGCACGATGTCGGTCACGGGTTCAAGGTCGAGAACATCAAGTACTACGGCGAACTGAAGGGCTACGACTTCAAGTCGTACGGCACCATCGACAAGCCGGCGGCGGCGTCGGCCCACGAGAAGTCCCATTCGCACGGGCCCGAGAAGAACGGCCACGAGAAGTGTCACTCGAAGGGCTCCGCCGGCGTCGCCGCGATGCAGAGCTACGGCCTGGCCAAGGTCGCCGCTGGTGAACGTCCACCGGAGAAGAATCTGTACGCGGACCATTATTATCACCGACCATCGCACTCGAAGCCGCAGAGCCCGTATCAGGTGTACCAGGAGACCAAGTACTCGTACAACGTGAGCGGGGTGCCCGGGACGCCGGCGCAGGCCAGCGCAGCCGCAGCTTTCTTCGCAAGGTCAGTCACTCGATCTACTATACTACTCGCGATCACGCGCGTCCACCTGTTCCCGCCTAGATTTACGGCGGTGCGCCGACGACGACGACGACGACGACTACTACTACCACGACGACCGTCTATCGTTCCTCTTTCTCCAAGCATTGTCCCGGCCGGACCATCTGTAATTGTCCCTCGTGGCTACCGTTTGTTTACGTGACGCGTCCCCCGACTCGACGTTCGCTCGCCTACTTAGAATGACTTTATCGTTCGCCTGTTCGCCGGTGGTACCGCGGGACAGCCCATGCGAAACTTTTTGCGCAAACCTATAAACTCCCGCCAGGAATTCTCGCGACTTATTCTCTCGGTCCCCGCAGCCTTAGCTGGGCTATCGCATTAAATTTAACAACTTTTATCGTGTTTGCTGCTAGCTGCCTTCTCTCGTTACTTCCGCTTACGACACGTTCAGCCGAGTTTTCAACTTTGTCTTCCTTGGCCCGCGTCGCACTTTAACCGCCACGCCGCGTTTCAGTTCCCCGCAAATGGTATCTTATTGCACTCGTTTTAGCCAGTTTCAACGTAGTTTCAACCCCGCGCGGTTACAATGTTTTGCAATTTTGCTCGGTGCCGTTTCGAATTCTTCTTTAACTTGGACTTGGCTTCGTTAGTTCGTTGAATTACGCGTGGAACGAGACGCATTGTTCTGTTACATTCAGCATGGGCTCGTAAAGGATTACGTTTCGGTGGATTGAACAACGTTGTAGAATGAATGAACAGACTTTTGAAGTCGGAGCTCATGCCGTAGTTCTACAATAATTGTTACTTGTTCGCATCTCTTTTGTTTAATCGGCAGTTCTTTTAACAACGTCCCATGCCATCGGAGTAAGCGTTGTTGCATTGTTCCTGTTCATTCGTCTGACATTTTTGTTGAAATACATTCGATGTATTTCTCATGAAATCTTGTGTCACTCTTCTAAAAAATGTTACAACCATGAAGGAACGCTAGAATCGTGTTCGAGAATGTTTGAGCTTAAATAACTCGCTTACGATTAGTATCGTTCAGGGGGTGATTATATTAACCCTTTGCACTCGAAGCTGTTTTAACCTTAAATCTGAAATATTCTTTCTGACTGATGGTACCTTCATTTTCTATGGCAACGTGCATTTTATGCAAATGAAATTGTGTCTCGCGACTCGCGCAACAGTTACACTTTTAAATTGATTTTTTAAATCTAGACTTTGTTAACATAGAAATTATCTTAGAACGTGATTTAACAAATTTTAGTGGGGCCTCTGAGTCGCCACTCGAGTTCAAAGGGTTAACAGTCAAATTGCAATACCGAATTTATTTACACATCTAATTGTTTCTACTATTATTCGTGCTTATAAAATTTATTCAAGCATTTCTCACGAAAGAGACCTTATAATTTCAACAATTTCAATATAGATTTTATGGAATCGGTGATTTTGACCGGTACGGTATGTTTAGTGTTAAATGTTTATTCGCAGGACAGGCTCGAAAGTTATCAAAATAAATCAGGCGAAGGTTAATAAAATCGTTGCACTCTCGAATTTCATTTCGAAAGTTCGCCGAAGGGTTACGAGTGCCGATAAAACACAAGATCGATGACATTTAGGGGCTTAACCTTCCGCTGATTCGATCTGCCTGCGAACAGTCCTCCCTCTCGGACCGTCCATTGTTCTCGTTGCTCCCGGGAAAAAGCAATCTGTCTCGAAGAATTCTCGGCAATTCGCAATCGCCATTCTCTCCCGGTCGCTTCTTTCATTCTCGGGCGGGCTCGCGTAGTAGGGGGTTCGCGCGCAATCACGGATTCACGGGGAACAATTTCAAAGGTGGTCGCCAGGCTGGAAGCCGAGCTTTCCTTGAGACGTCGCCGGGGCGGCTTTGATCTACGGCACGCGTTTTCGACGGGCGAACCACGGAATGAGAAGCATCGGGACGGTCGCGTGAAAGCGTTCGGTCGAGCTTGAATCGCGTGCAGTTTGCGCGCAAGCTCTTCCGCCGGTGTCTCCCCCTTAACTCCGGCAAGCAGAACTTAAGTCGTTTCATAAACCTTAGTCACAGCCGGTGGATGTTTCGTTGCACAATAGCATTCTCCGTGCGCTTTGCGGCCGGACACCTGCTCGATCTTTGAGTCGCGATCTTGGTCGCGAGAGTTATTAGTTCCCCGCTAATTACGAACCGTTGCGTTTAATAGTAATTTATGAGCTCGAGATCGTCGTTAGCTGCTGTACGGGCACCCGGGGGCGAATGTATCCATTTCAGGCGAAAGATTTGCACTGATTGCTGAAATTTCGACTAATCATCCGAGGTCCCCGTTATGGAGAAAATTAATTGCAACTTCTTTTAGTTATAGTAAATGCACGTGTTAACTTTAAGTTAACATATTTGTATCGTAAGTAGGCAGCGGATCTTGTGCATTTATGCTAAAAATGATTAAACGACACTTAAAACACCGAAAAGATTCAAGAATAATATAATATAATAATATATAATATATATAATAATATAATATAATATAATATATAAAATGATTAGATACATAAATAAACTTCTATTGATGACAAGCAACACTAAGAAACTTTTAGAATCTGCATGAATTGTTTTACTCTCGTGTCTATATGTTAGCTAGCTAAAAATGATTTTATTTATTTATTATTGTTGTAAACCAGATGGTTTATTTAGCAGTTGCAGGGTGAACATAAATTAGAAGTAAATTCCTTGGTTTCCGATTACGGTAAGAGTTAATACGAATTCGCTTTGAACAAAATGTGTCGATATATAATTATAGCCGTTTTATTATTCGCTACGATTCAACTTGAAAAATCGTTCGAAATCGATGTTTAGATTCTATTCTAATAAAACTATCCTTTTGTTGGACACACCTTGTACAGAAGGGTAAACGCTGAACCTACCGAACACTAAAAATGATTGACGAGTGTTGCACAGACAATGCTGAATTCATTTAGACACTTTGCTATTCATATTATAACGTATTCTTGAATTAGGAAATTTATTCAATTATTTCCCAAAAATACTGATATACAAAATATCCATCGTATAATATACAACAGACGAAAGAGAAGCATGAACAATTTATTATTCGCCATTCGGTAAAATTCAAATAAAAAAAAAAAAACATTTCATATTCGAATCGAAATAATAAATAAATAATTTGTAGAACAATTTAAATGATTTTTCAATAAAATAAATATTTTAATTATTAATTTCAAACGAAGCATCGATTAAATTTAAAATTCAATTAAATATTTCACTTGAAAAGAATAGTAATTAAATTTTTCGTTCGATTGAAAAATCATTTAAATAATTCCACAATTATTTCGATTTGAAAATAAAATGTTACTTCTTCGCATGAATTTCACGGAACGACGAATAATCAAATATTTTCAATTTGAATTTAATTCGATTGGTTATTTATTATTTCAGAGAAAAATTCTTCCAGCTCTGCGTGTACTGTTAAAATAACGATTTATCGGCAACCCGGTCGCAACTAATGCGAGCCCGTGGATCCGCGAGCGGCTCGCATGCCGGACGCTCCTCGTTTTGCAAGGAAGGAACGTCCGCTCGGAATGTCGACGGCGTGTCGCTTGTTAATGAAAAGCAAACCCTCGATTTCGAATAAAATCGCCGATCGAACGGCAGGAGTAATCGCGCGCGGCCGTTTCGACGCCGATAAAACTGGCCGGGTACGCGGCACTCGAGGCAGCGATAATCGCGAGCGGGTTCTCGCTCGCGAGCCTCGCTCCGACGAGCTTTAAATCGTCGAATAACTAATGTATCGTTTAATGGATAGCGGTGCACGGTTCCTGAGCGATCGTGTCCCGGGTATGAATGATTTCAATGGACTCGTCTCGGTAGTGAGTGGCGCCTCGGTTCGTTCCGCTTCTCCTCTCCCTCGCTCCTCTCCGCGCCGCAACGCGCCGCAACGCACCGCGCCGCAACGCACCGCACCGTTCCTCAGCGGCGTCGCTTGCTCAGGATTCTTTGGAATCGGCGTTCTCCCGGTCTCGTAGGAAGTAGCAGCGCGTTAAGAATTGAAATTAATCGCGCCTCGACGGGTCCCGAGACGTATACCTGGTTCTCTTTTGTACGACTACTGGTTTCACGCCTGGACAAGAAGCATTCTGGCCGCGTGCTCTCTCTCTTCTCTGTCTCTCTTAATCTTTCGTTCTCTATCTTTCTCGCATGCCCTCTCTTTCTCTCTCTCTCTCTTTCTCTTTCTCTCTTTCGGAGCCACGCGAGCACACAATCGATGTCAAAACACCTTTCAGAAATCGGTCGCCGGACGCACGCGGTTAACAAGAGGTGCCCGAAGGAGCACCAGCGATTTTTCGCTCGAGTATTCCGAACGATTCTGCTCCTCCTCCTTCTCCTCCTCCTCCTCCTCCTCCTCGAGACACCCGTGTGCATGCATACGCCCGGCGAGCATCGTTCGCTTTTTGCGACGAGATCCCGTCCGAAGTTCCCGGAATACGAGTATCGTACCGTTACTTTCGAACTTCATGAATATTCTCGAAACCTTTCCCGTCCGGTGGCAAATAAAAAAAAAAAGGAAGAACCGAGCCCGCGTACACCGCCGCTCAAAAACCCCGGAAACCGTGCGCCGACCGCTAAGTCTGCAAAACTCGATTATCTCGGAACTATCGGCCATGCAAAAAAGTTTCTACGCGCGAATTTAATGGCGGGATAGTCGAACTTTCGGACCGAAACGAGATTTTTGTTTTTCAGAGATCCCGCGAGGGTTTCTAGATATACATTACGAATCTTCGAAGGGAATAGAGGATTTCGGAAATATCGGGGATGATCTACCTCGAATTTTCGTCACAAAATAGCATCATCTGAAAACTTCGGATCTTAATTCAGAGATCAATTTTTTTAACAAGTGTGGAGTGAAGACGATTTTCAATAATATTGTATATGTGGCGTTTAAGAAGTGTCGAGAAAAACATTTCGATTACCGTTTGCAACGAGACGTGTA